CAGACAGAATCTTACCCTTCCCAGGAGGCTCAGGCAAAAACAAACCACTACAGCCACTCCTAGCTTGTCTGTTCCTCCTCATTTATTACTCTTGCCATCTTCAGCACACTGCCATGTTGCTTGGCTACAGATGTCCCATTTTTCGTCTGTCAACTGTTAGAAGGTGTGCCTTAACCGTGATTACCTTCATTGACAGTCTTCTTATGGTGCAAATTCTGCAGATAACTAGGTTTCTCAGATCTCAGGGGCTGGTGCTACTCCTCCAGTCTTCAAGGTGAAGGGGCAAGATCTCAGGGCAAGAATGTTACCTTGAAAAATATGCATTCATATATTTTCCTCCTTTGTTAGACTTGGTAGTTTGTTTTTTCATTTTGAATAGTATATCCTGTACATCTTGCTTGATGTTTAAGGCATTGGTTCTCAAATGTTTTCGCCTTGTGACCCCTTCACATCTACAGCCAAACTGTCTCGATTTGGCAAAGACAGTCCCAGTTTATTTTCTGTCATCCCACTTTTTAAGCTGCTTTTAAAATGTCTGATTTTCTCTCTCAGGCTCCCACTTTCCTTTTTGTTCTCAATTTGCTTCAATTATTCCAATTGAGTTCAAAGTGTAAAAATAGTTTGCACTTTGAGTTCAAAGTGTAAAAATACTCAGCAAAGGGGAGAGAAGAAAAGGAGTCAAAATTGTGTCTTTCCCAGTAGTTTCCAGAAAAAGCAAACTGCTGCAGACTCTTCTAGCTTGTATGTTTATCTTCATTAATGACCAAAATCTGATGTTACTTGACCATATGCATTGGAAGGTTGGAAATGTTTTTAGCTTGGAAACATCTTTCAGGGATTCAGGGATGACTAGTTTACTGGTTTACAAGGCCATTGGCATCAACGAAACAGGTATGGAGATGTACAGAACACCAATGTGCAAATGAACAAGGGACTTTGGCTTGAGGCTACCAGATGAGTTGCACTTGGTTCTTATTGAAATCAGTGGAGCATATGGGAAGAATTTACTGGGAAATCAGTGCAACCCTTCCAGTGAATCCATCCCATCATGGTCATAGTGAAACCATTCTCCAGATCTGGGATCAATTCTTCCTATCTCAATAGAGTAGTTTTGAAACCTGAAAATATCTTCAGCATACTTCTACTCACAGGTACATGATGACCCTTTCTTCTGTTCAAATATAGGTAGATTCTCTATTTTTCTGCTTCCATTGGAAACACTGAAGCCTGCAAAGTAATTTGAAAGAATGCTATCCCCGATGATGAAATCCTATACAACAGTGATTTTTTTTTTCTAGATGCATATGTACAACACCCCATGGCTGAAATCCTTTTGTTAGTCCTGCTTGGAGGAGATCCATTGAATCAATGAAATTTACCTATGTGTTGACTTATCTGTCAACCATTGATTGAATCTAGTTGAGGATAATCTACAGGATGCCTGTCTATAACTGTCCACTTCTACATAAGTCATACCCTCCAATGTTTTACAGGTGAAAAGCGGGACACATGTGGCCAAGCAACATCAGAGTGTCATCAAGATGACAAAAGTCATTAAGGAAGTTATATATGAGGAAGACTACATAAGCTAGGAAAGGCTGCATGAGTTTGCTTTTGCCTCAGCCAACAGTGAAAGGCAAGTTTCTGCCCTCCTCTTCCTTTTGCTGTACTGAGTGCAAACTACTTTTGCACTTTGAACTCAGTTTGCAGCAACTGAAGTAATTTGAGGAGAAAAGGAGAAAGTGGGAGAAGGAAATAAAAATAGGACAGTTTAGAAGTAGCTGAAAAAGTTGGGACAATAGAAGATTAATTTGAACTGTCCCTGTCAATTCACAAAAGTTGGAAGGTATGAGCAAGTCCCATTGCGTTGCCATCTTTCCACCGTCAGGTAAAGACCTTTTTATTTCAGGAAGCTTTTGGTTTTTAGTGAGCTGTGGAAGAAAAAGCTTTTAATGGGGCTTGTAGCATTTTTATTTTATTATGTTTTCAGCATCTTTTGATGCTGTTTCAAATGGTTTATAATTTGGTTTGGTTTTTTTTCCAAACAGAAATGTAGCTTAATTGCATTTAAACTTTTCTATTAGGAGTTTTTAATTGTGTTGTGCTTTTAAAATGTTGTGCACTGCTTTGGATCCTGTGCTAAGAGAAAGATGGGATATAAAAGAAAGAGGAATGAATGTGCCACTCTGTTCTGCTTTGGCCAGGAATATTGGGTCCGGTTCTGGTCACCACAGTTCAAGAAGTCTATTTAGAAGCTGGAACATGACCAGAGGAGGGCAACATAAATGGTGAAAGACCTGGAAACTATGCCCTATGCGGAGCAACTTAGGGAGCTGGGTATGTTAGCCTGGAGAAGAGAAGGTTAAGGGGTGACATGATAGCCATGTTTCAATATTAGAAGGGATGCCATATTGAGAATAGAGGAAGCTTGTTTTCTGCTTCTCCAGAGAGTAGGACATGGAGAAATGGATTCAAGCTACAAGAAAAAAGATTCCACATAACCCTTTGGAAGAACTGACTGATGGTAAGAGCTGTTCAACAGTGAAACACACTCCTTCAGAAAGTGATGGAGTCTCCTTCTTTGGTGGTTTTTAAATAGAGGTTGGATGGCCATCTTTGATTGTGTCTTCCTGCCTGGCAGGGGATTGGATTGGTCCTTGAGGTCTCTTCCAACTCTTGGAAGTCGGAGTCGCACTGGGGAAT